CATCTAACTCTCCTGCCTTTTCCTCCTTTTTCCCACCCTAGACAGCCATGGCTAGCATTTAGCGTCTAACAGCTTTTAAGAATACTTGGCTACATTTAAAAGGCCCAGGGCATGAATCATGTGGCTCAATCACTGGTTGGTTCAAATCCGCCCAGGCTTGTCGTGAATGCAGCTGTAATGATCAGATAGGCTGTTTGGGTGGCCAGTACTAGGTTGGAGCTAGACCCCAGAATTAGCACTGTTGTTGATAATTAACCGCCTGCCTGTGAGCAGAGAAGCTGAGAGTTCAAAAGCCACACAGGGTGGACTTGCCTTTCACACTAAAAAGGCATCTCCTGGTCGCAGCAAAGCAGCCTTGAGCAGTGTCGGGCAACTTGTGCTGCTGCTGCCTGTGCTCCACTGGTTTGGCTGAAGATCTCATTCTCCAGTGCTGTTGCTGTGTCACCTTTTAATGCTGACATTCAATTAAAAACTCAGCCGTCCCTCAGCGCTGGATTCCCAGAGCTGTTCCCTCTTACTTTGCCTTGTTCAACACTCCCATTCCTTTGCAGGTGTCACCTGCTGTGTTGGATGTTCAAGAGGTTTGCTCACATTCAGCTTGTGTCTGTCTCCCTCCATATCTGTTCTAGAAAGGTCTGGTTTGGATGAGGCAGGGTTGTGTGTGTTCTCCCCCTCTGTGACTAACACACAAGTACAGTGGCTGTCTAAAGGTAAACCTCACCTGGCCATCGTGCTTTCCTGATGAATTCACTCACAATGCCTCACTTCACTGGAGTAGGATGTCTCTCTCCAGGCACCGCCTCTGTCCCTGCTGTGGGAAGTCCAGTTCAGCAGCATAGGGTGCAAAACCTGGGCAGGGTTTGGTGCATTTGTTGGTCCTGTCTGGAGACCCAGGTTCCATTTGTTTCTTCAGCCTGAGAGGTTCAGGTGATCTCAAGCCAAGTCCTCATTTTCATGCAAGGACAAATGGAGTTTAGCCTTGACTATCCCTATATAGGTGGGGTTCTTGAGGAGTATTTGAGCTGCCCAATGAGAGGTACCGAGCTGGGCTATGTGAGCAGAGCTCACGCAGTACCTCTCCACACTGTGCTCACTTCCACTAGTGTCACAGCTGCCTCTTGTGATCATTAAGATTCACCTTTCCCAGACAGAGACACCCTTGGGGCTATACCGTAGCACTGAAATCTTCCTCCTGGGACAAGGCACTGGCTATTCATAGCACTGGTTTCTGCATGCTGCCTGACTGCATTAGGATGGGCACTGTTTGGTACTAGGACATCAAACCTTAGTGGAACTGCAGAGTTAACCGAGTGTTTGAAGATCCTGGCTCTGCAGCACATTGAGCTCAGCAATGACTGTGGAGCATTTTCAGCTGAAGTAAGTGGTAGGAGAGGTTGAACATGGGTCTGGCAATCCACTGTGAACTTGATTCAGACCACCTGGAGCAGCCCTCCGACTCTGCAGAGCTCTTGTAGCTGAAGGTTAAAAGTCTCACTCAGAACAAAAATGTGATAAATGATTGAAATGTGGGAGGGGGAAGGGTTTTCAATTCTCACAGTTCAGCAGCGGGTTAGAGAATGACAGGCAGAAAGCAAGCTCTTCAGCCTCTTAAGAGTGAGGTCTTACGTTGCAGTTCCCCTTGAGTTCCTACTTGGTCGGCCTTCAAGGCCTGCTCCTCTGTAACAGCAGGGGGAAGGGTTTGAGTTGTCTGTCTGCAGTTAAGGCAGGACAACCAAATTATTTACTCAGGCAAATTGATGGTGTTGAGTGGTATTAATTGGCTAGGCTGAAGGTGTGACCCACAGTGTACTGTAGCCCTGATTAACTCTGACCTACAGGTCATCTGGAGGAGAGGAAATTCATGGGATGCCATGGTTAAGATCAGCATCCTTGCCTCTCAGCTGTTTTGCAGGATCTTACTCATCGCCTCTGCTCTTTTGCCCATTTCTTTGTTTCATTCTGTAGTTTCTGCCTCTGTTTGGTTTCTTTTCTCACAGTTCTGGGAACTGGCATGGGAGCTCTTTACCAATCCAGCTGGCTGTAGAAAGGAACACGGTGGGCCATTAATGCATGTCAAGCGTTTCCGTGTGCCAGCTGTCTGCTGTGGACTAGAGAGGGCTGGTTGACACTGGGGAGCAGGGACACCATACACAGGGATGACAGAGAATTAAGTGGCGGTGGTGGGGGGAGCCTTTGTGTGCCCCAGGGAGTGCAGGCTATAATAGCCTAGTGTAATGTGGCTACAATATCCCATAGTAATTTAGGAAGGGAGAGTGTTAGTGTAAAGGTCTTTCTCCCAAAGGGAACTTGGTGAAACAAATCTCTGCCTTCTGGGAAGCCGGAGGCATCTGGTGTCCAGTTTGGAGACCTGAGAGAGTGAGCTAGATGGCAGACCTGGGCACTGAGGCTTCAGTTCTCTCCCACTCACTAAGGTAGCTGGCTTAAAACTGCATTTGCCCTCTGTCCAGAGTGGAGAACAAGTTGCTGGGAGCTCTTACCTGCTTCTGCGGGGCCAGCTGAAAGGATGTCTTAGTTCAGCCTGCAGTGGGTCAGCAAAGGTTTGCCTCAGAGTGAGGCTGGAGCTGGATATTTGGGAGCAGCCTGCAGGTAGGTTGCAGGAAAAGGAATGCTTTTGGCTTAAATAAAAGTTTGGCCATGCTTGTGGATGTTTCTGCTCACCTGCAGAAGCTACCCTGGTGTAGCTTAGTGCAGAAGGCATCTCTACTATGGTTTGAGAGCTGGGTCAACACTCCACTTAGCTGGGGATATCTACTAAGCCCACAACATGCTTTAGGCCAAGGGTGCTGGTTATGGAAAAGGTTCCTTCCTTGTGTATTGAATCTGGAATTGCATCCTAGGCACTCAGGAAGAGTTCAGTCTATTTATGCACTCACTCTCCTTTCATCCCCACTCCTCTATGACTTGATAGGGCTTTTAATTCTCTTCTGTAGCCTCTCAACCTTTTGCTTGCTTTTAGAGTAGACTTCTTCCTCACAGATGAGGGCACAACTAATTCCAGGAGTTTAGATATAGATGAATAATCCTGGATGCTTTCTGCAAAGGGGGTGGAGAAGACCTGGACCTCCTTCCAATTTTGGTGAAGAGCTGGGGCTTTGCTCCAGGTGGTCCTTGTCTAACCAGCCCTTGGTAATCACAAACATACCCGCTGACGGTGTCCAGGAAGAGGCCCTGTGCACTAACTTGCAGCAGGGGTGCAGAGACACTTTTCCTATTGAACTGCTGCTGTGTTTTCTTCAGGACTTTCTATCGTTTTGAGGCTGTTTGGGATAGTTCCCTGCACAACTCTCTCCTCCTCAATCGTGTGACACCATATGGAGAGAAGATTTATATGACCCTGTCAGCATACCTGGAGGTGAGCATACGCTGTGCCCCATAGCAGCTGTTTTGGAATTTGGTGGAGGGAAACAAAGAGTACAGTAAGGAACAGGCATTCTGGCTATCATCTCAGCTGTACCAAGTTGCCTTTGAATGCTGGAATCTTCTGAAATGATCCTGCTTCAGCCCTTGTCTGGTTATATCCTAGGGACCAGGTAGAAGCATTTTCTGCAGTAACGTCTGGTTAACAGTATAAAATCAAAGCAATATTGTCCCCCATCAGTACAGTTAGCCTCTCTGCCTCTGTTAGTCTTTCTCTGTATTGGCAAAGTCCTTTGATATCCTAGCATGAAAGTTTCTATTTAAGGACCTTCATCACTACATGCATTGGCCTGGCTCTTGGTTTTGCATGCAGGAGACCTGTCTTTCCCTGTAGTGTGGTCACAAATGCAGAGGATGCACCTAGAAAGCTAGCAGCATGTTTTTAAGAAAGCCTGATGAGGAAGTTTCCCCACTGACAGAGAGAACATGTACACTTAGGCATATAGGTGGGCACAGGCACACACGTGATTTGCTGCATAGTTTAAACAGTCATCTGTTCACGCTCTAGCTTGACCACTGCATCCAGCCAGCCGTCATCACCAAGGATGTCTGTATGGTCTTCTACTCGCGAGATGCCAAGATCTCACCACCGCGCTCGCTGCGCAGTCTCTTTGGCAGTGGCTACTCCAAATCGCCAGACTCGTAAGTTTTATAGGATCAGAGCGTGATACGTTCCGCACCCAGATCAAAAAGGGAAAATAGGAGCTGTTTTTTCCTAAGGCTCTTCACTGGAAGCCTGCTTAGCTGCAGCTCCCAGCTCTTTTGGTCAGCAAACAGCTTTCCTTAATTAGGTAGTCTGATTTATGTTGAGGCAAACTGATCACCCAAACTGCCTGCCTCCAGCTTTGCCTCTTCAAACAGCCCTTTTGAAAAGCAAAAGGGTGTTCTGGTAGAAAGGAATATTTAAGCTTTCCAGCTTGCGTGTGGAGAATGCTGGTCTGAGATTGAAATCTGCTTAATTGGCAGTTTTCTAAGGCTAATGTGCTGGAAACAGGAAAAAGCAGAACTCAGTGGAAGTGTCTGCTCTAGGGCCCTGGCTGTCTGCTGCTCCTCAGCTTTGCAGTCAGGGAAAGATCTCTATTTTGCAAATGCGGTTGATAAGTTTGGAGGCTGAAGGACCCTGTAAATCATGAGAATGGTGTCAAGTGTCTTCAAAGACACAAGTGTCAACTGTGATTGATTTCTTATTATAACTAGCTTTTCCTGTGTGGGCTTTTTTGTAAACAGCAATCGAGTGACTGGAATCTATGAGCTGAGTTTGTGCAAAATGGCAGATACAGGAAGTCCAGGTCAGTGCTAACAGCCCATTTGCTCAAGCTGGGGAATGTTAACATTTGTGGGTTTTATGGCAGATGGAGAGTTTGAAAGTAATGACTTCATGCATGGAGGAAATAAATCTTCCTCTTTTTTTTAAGAAAAGCAGCTCGTGCAGTACAGAGGTACTGTCATAATTGTAGAGCTGAACTGTGGCAGAGGCTGGCTGTGGGGATCAAGAAAGGAGAGCCCTATTTGAGGCCTAGCTCCTTCAAATCAGTGGAATTGAGACAAGGGTAGGGAAGTGGAGGGAGCCAGGAGAAGGGTTCCTCTGATCCCCCAATACAGGCTTTTTTCCTAAGAAGCAAGTTTGAGAGCTTGTAAATTTGCTGATTGAAATGCAAGACTTTTGATTGATGATAACTGGAAAAATATCAAACATCAGGCCTCTGAGGAGAAAATGACTATTGCCTAGGACTGAACAGGGTTTTCAGTTCTTGGGATTAGTGGGGTAATATTTCTGGGTTGGTGCAGAAGGCTGAATTAAAATGATGCGTACTAATGCCCTCAGCCCTTCAGAATGGAGAGACCTTGTCCCAGGTGTGATCGTGGTTATTTTATCTATGGCCGGTCAGGCAGGGGGAGCACAGGTGCTCTGTCGATCCCTGTGCATGAAGTCTGTCCTAGATTGTTCCCTCCCATCTATGCTACTTTTTTCTTGACTCTCAGGAATGCAAAGGAGGAGGAGGAAAGTCCTGGATACATCTGTAGCGTATGTCCGTGGTGAAGAGAACCTGGCCGGATGGAGGCCCCGTGGTGATAGCCTCATTTTAGAGCACCAGTGGGAACTGGAGAAACTGGAGCTGCTGCATGAGGTACTCGAGGGGGAAGGAGCAAAGGGTGGGAGAGACATGGGCCTCTCGGCAGCCACTCTTCACTCCTCAAATTGAGAGAGATCTCAAGAGGTCCAGGCCAGAAATAGATTCCCTCCAGATGAATACAGAGGTGGTACTGCTGCCACTGAGCATAACCTTCAACACAGGGTCTTGCTGTATTCAGCAGAGGCCACACTTGGCCTTTTAGTACTATTGCAGTCCCTTTCTGCTGTGTACTCTGATATCCTAGTGGGGGATCATATGTCAGTATGCTCAAGGGTAAGGACCATCCTGGAATTGGTGTTTGTTCTGTTGGTTCTCAGGTGGAAAAGACTCGTCACTTCCTGCTGCTGCGTGAGAAGCTTGGTGACAGCATTCCCAAGTCCCTGAGTGACTCACTGTCCCCCAGTCTGAGCAGTGGGACCCTCAGCACCTCTACTAGCATCTCCTCCCAGATCTCCACCACAACTTTTGAGAGTGCTGTCACACCCAGTGAAAGCAGTGGCTACGACTCAACAGACATTGAGAGCCTGGTGGATCGGGAGAAAGAGCTGGCCACCAAGGTATGGGTTATGGAAAGAGCAGGACAGGTCCAGCATGTGGCACTGGAGAGGCAGGAAAGACTTGTGAGAAGACCCCAAAACCTACAGCCCAGTCACTAGAAAATACAAAAGCCTTTTCACCTGCACAACTTTGTCATTACAAATCAGGCTCTGGTAGACCTTGGTATTGTTCCCAATGGGGAGTAGGTGACCTGATGGGCAAGAGACAATATGCTGCTAGGACCTTAGCACCTCTTGAGCTTAACTAGGACCTACTGATTTCTTGGGTAGGTGGAATCCCTGATAACTCATTTACACTTTAGGGACCCTAGAGCCTATTCTTTTCTTATCTGGTGTGCGTATCTCTTGCTGTCTCATAAATGGCTAGAGTCCTGTGCTTTGCAGAGCCTTGTTTTAAGAAGCTCCTACAGCCAAAGTTATATTCCCTCAATCAATCAAAACCCATCTCCCTTCAGTGAAATGGAAATGCTGATTGAGATTATACTCCTAGGAATGCAGATTTGGAAGGGGTCTTCTGGACCATCAAGTTCAGTCCCCTGTTTGTGGGCAAACTCTTAGCACTTGTGTGTGTAAAATGTTTGCACTATATGAATAACATGTGCTTTTTCTATTTGAGTGAGTTTTTTAATGACTGGACTTGCCTGGACATGGGCAGTCCAGATTTCACTGATACTTTAGTGAGCAGCAAAGTGGTACTGGTAGATTCCATGCTGTTTGATCTGTTTTCTCCTGAAACCTAATTGGAAATGTCTAGTCTCTTCTTCTTTTTTTTTTTTTTTTTTCCCTCCCCCTCAGTGCCTCCAGCTTCTCACTCATACGTTCAACCGTGAATTTAACCAGGTGTACAACAGCATTAGTGATTGTAAGGTAAGGCTTTTGCAGTATGGCATCGGCCAAATGTGCCATAGGCTGGTGTTGTTTCCTGCAATACTCTGTGCATCCCTTTCTCAGATACCTGTAGGAATTGCAACATTGAATGTTTGGTGACCTGGCGTATAATTGTCAGTGCTGTGTATTGAATGATCATGGAAAGTAAAGGTTCTACCTACAGGGTCAAATGCCAAGGGCCCAAACTGTACCTGAATGGTCCAACTGATGCTGGGCTTGATTTGTTCTGTTCAGCTTGAGTCTGGAGGTGGGGGCATTCACTGGCCTTGGAGTCTTGGGACAGGGAAGAAAGGAAGACGGATGTGGAGGAAGTCTACTGCACGCACCTTTTATCATTACTGCTTTGGCCTGGCATCTTCCTTATTATTAGTGTTTCCTGAGAACAGAGTGTAAACTGAACAGCTTGAGAGCTCTGGCTCTAGGAACAGGGGATAAAGAAACTAATGCAGTATTACAGAACCAGATCACGTAGTGCTGGGCTGAGGGAGCCTGTATGAAAATCAGTCTTGGAACAAACACTTCTCCATGGTCTGAACACTTGAGGCTGCGAGGGGTGGGTGTTCTGAGAGCTGTGGTCTCTTGAGGGTGGTGCCTTACCATAGCAGTTTTGTGTGTTCTTGCAGCTGTCTGATATCTCTCCAATCGGGCGGGACCCATCTGTGTCCAGCTTCAGCAGTGCCACCCTCACACCTTCATCCACCTGCCCCTCTCTGGTAGATTCAAGATGCAATTCAATGGATCAGAAGTAAGTGAGGAGGACTAATGGGATTGTGAACAGGCTCCTCCACTCTGCATCTTCTATCCTTGTTCCATTCCTCTTCCTTGTTTTTTTTCTGCCTATTCTCTCCTTTCCAGCTGTTCTTCCTCTTCTCTGTCATTTCTGCATATTTAGCCTCTTCCCTTTTATTTTCCATGCTGAAGGGGCAGCCAGATGAACACACTACATTATGGAGATTTCCTGCAGCTTCACTGTGTACAAAGCCCATGCTGATGCTTGGGAGTTAGGCAAGAGAATGGTTTAATTGAGATCAAACCACAATTGACCACCTTATCCAGGGAGCTGTTTCTTGACAACCTACTTCTCATCTATGTAATTAAGAAGGACATTTCAGATAAAAATGGGATTCAGATCTCTGTAGAGAACAGTTCAGTGCTTCAGTCTCTGCTGAGCTCTCCCTGAGACAGTAGGGCTGGCTAGCAGGTGCTGCCTATGAATTGTGTGTAGCCCATCAGCGTAGTGGTCAGTGCGTGGAGGAGGATCCACTGGAAGAATAGTGAAAAGCAGCCCAAGGACAAGTCACTTCTCTGCTACGGGGAGAAAGCCTCAAGCTTGATCCCACAGATCTTACACGAAATGCTGTTTTAGGTGTGTAAGAGTCTCCCAGGTCTCTCTTCCGTGGAAGCACCTGGGGCATGGGTCAGGCTCATGCCAGGGCAGAGCAGAAATCTTGCAGGACAGGATGGGAGGCAGAATTGCTTAGAGATTTGTCATGATCGTTTGCTTTGTAGTGATCGCTTTTCTCTCCCTCTAATTTTTTTTTCTTTCATAGGACTCCAGAAGCAAATTCCCGTGCCTCCAGCCCATGCCCCGAGTTGGAACAATTTCAGCTGGTCCCAGCAGTGGAAACCTCCTATCTGGCCAGAGCTGGAAAGAACGAATTCCTGAACCTTGTTCCTGACATTGAGGAGATCAGACCAGGGTGAGATGTGGTGGGAGTGAACCTTCCCTGCCTGCAGACTGAGCTGTCCTGGAATTCCAGGTGTCATGCCCCTTGTGAAGATGAATGCAACAGGTGCTGGCAAGACTGAAGTAGCAGCCTTCAAGAGACTTAGTTAGACTAGCAGCAGGGCAGGGGAGCATTGTGTTGATTTCTGCCTTATTTAAAGCTCAGTCTTGTAGCTGCCTCCTTCACCAAGCTCCCATTGACCTGCTGCATGGGCAGACTCATGGTGCAGGTGTCATTTCAATATAGGGCTGTGTACATTACTTCTCTCATGCTAGAGATTTGCAGGTATTTTCTTGAAGGGCAGGGGTCAAGCTTTCTGATGGAGGAATTGGTAGTTGTTTGGGGTGGGAAACAGAACTGCCTGGCCCAGGGGTTCTGTTGGGCACCAATTCTGCCTACCAGCAGCTGATTTGCTTCAGACAGTCTTAATAACTGGAATTCCTATTTGCTTTTTCAGCTCTGTGGTGTCCAAGAAGGGGTACCTCCACTTCAAGGAGCCGCTTTCTGCCTCCTGGGCCAAGCACTTTGTGGTGGTTCGCCGTCCGTACGTCTTTATTTACAACAGCGACAAAGACCCTGTGGAGAGGGGGATCATCAACTTGTCTACGGCACAGGTGGAGTACAGCGAGGATCAGCAGGCAATGGTGAAGGTCAGTCTGGGGACTGTAGTCCTCTTGGGCACAGAACAGAATCTGTGGGTGAAGTGCAAACATGATTCACGCTGCCCTGCCAGTCCAATGTACCTCTGGTCTGGGGGAGCCGCCTCTAGGAGTCAGAGGCAAGAGCCATCTCAGTGGCCAGTCTAGCCTTGTGCCTCTGCTGCAGCTGCTAGCAAGGTTTCCAACCCCGACAGGGATGACTTCTGTGATGGAAATGTAAATATACAGGAAGCTGTTGATAGCACTTGGATTGAGATGTGTGGAATAGAGTTTGAGGCCTCCACCTTAGATGCTCTCCAGCCCTCTGTCATCCCACTGCCAGTCTTGGATGGATGAGACACGGGGGTTGTGGCTTTTTGTCCCTTGACTAATGCCCTGATAACTTGAGCCCATCACATGTGCCTACTCTCAGTAGGAGGTACACTGCTCAATGGATCTGCCACAGCAGCTCATATGAGTTTGCGAGTTAAGTAAAGGCCTATGATATCTCCTCCTGATAACGGCAGGTTGAGAATATTGTTCATTTAACTGCAAAGCAAGGGCAACCTAAGGAAAAGTACCTAAGTCTGGTCAGTTGATGAGTGTTTCATAGAAAACTGCTGCTGGGATAGGCACATTCCAGCAGCAAAGGAGGGTTTAACCTTGGCCGGTGTCATTCAATGATTGATTAACTCTTTCAGACACCCAACACCTTTGCAGTATGCACGAAGCACCGTGGGGTCCTGCTTCAGGCCATCAATGACAAGGACATGAACGACTGGTTATATGCCTTCAACCCTCTTCTCGCTGGAACAATACGGTAAGAAGTAGAGCCTGAGCGAGCTGGGATGTGGCCAGGCAGCCTCTTATACTGGTGAGGGGCCGGGGGAGGCAAGAGAGCCCTCAGCCTGCTGGTGTAGAGAAGAGCTAGCCAGAAAGGCTAGGAAGCACAATGGATGCTGCGTGTGTGCTTGCCAGATGAATCCAATTTAGATATGTGCATGTAGCAGAGGTGTAGAAGGCTAAAAATGGCCTGTGGCCACCCTGTGCCTTTGCAGACTCTCAAGGGCTGTCTGCATTCCACCAAAATCACAGATGCTACCTTGTCAGCCGGGCTAGAGAGCTACTGCCTCTTCAGAAGGACAGGAGGTGATATTGCCTTGAGAAGGGGTGGGACGAGATAACCCCCCCGGAGGGCCCTTTGAGCCAGATTTTTTTTTAATTTTGTGACTTCGTGACTGACTGGCGCCTTCTATTTCAGTAAAAAGCTAATTGAAACCTCAGCTGTGTTACCTGTGTAACACAGCTTTTAAACTGGGGCTCACGAGATGTCATCTCATTCTTGGAGCCTGGGGCAGCACATGCAGGCTGTTGAGTGTTCACACTTGCATGCACTTGCCTTTTTTTAGAAAAGCAAATCAGGCAAGGGCAGAATGGGGGGCAGGTAGGCAAGCACAACTTGGCAGTGGGAAAGGAGGAATAACAGGTCTCTGGAGACAATGCCAAGCTTAACAGCACCTTTTCTTCTCTGTTCTGTACAGGTCGAAACTGGCCCGAAGACGCACGGGCCAGATGAAATACTGAGTCCGTGTAACGTTCTCCCCCGTTCTCTCTAACGCGCCTTCAGATAGATAAAGTGTTACCTCTCATTTCTCTTTGTGATTCTTGACGGTTTCTCTTGTATGTAATCCTGTGGCTTAACTCTCCCTTCCTCCCCGAGCCCCTTGGCACTTTTTCTAGCTATTCTAACCCCCCTGTTTTTCTTTCCACCTGCGCTGAGAATTCTACTAGTAGCATGTGGCCAAACAAAACGGGGAAAAAAAACCTGGAAAAGGGACGCGGCGATTATGCACAACTTCAAACAAACCAAGTGATTTCTTTTTGGTTTTTTCCTTAAAAGGGTTGGTTTCCCATCCTGACTGATTGCGTGGTGTCTCTACCACTGTCCTCAGTGTTGTCTCTCTGTCTGAAGCGCTTTAGGTTTATTATTTATTTGTGTCTTCGTGGTACCCACAATACTGCCCTCAGGACATGGGTCGTAGGCTAAGGAAAGCTGTTCCTTCTAAGTGTCAAGACATGGCATTACCCAGGTGCAAACTGCAGCAGTTCCTCAGACTTTCTGGGTCCTGCCTAACTGGATTCCTTGTGGAAGCTGGCGTATAGGAAAAGGCTTCCTGTCCAGGCTGGACTTCGCACTTGTCTAGGAATTTGGGTTCCACTGGGAGATGAAGGAGCTTTTGGTGCTGCACAGGGCCAAAGCAATATCTGCTGCTATGTAGAGCAAGGGGAGGAGGAGCAGAGTCAGAGGTGTAGCAACTGGCTGGAAGGAACTTCTGCTTGGGCTCTTGCAATGGGTAGGGGCAGTCGATGGGCACTTTCTAGCTAGATATCTCCCTAAGCATTAGCTCCCGCTGTTCTGCAGTTGAGCTGAGCAGAGATAACCCTATGCAGGCAGCGTGACTGCATCCTCTGTGCTTGGGAAGGGAGGGTGTGCCACATGAGCACACCAAGGACAAAAGTATGATACTGAAAAATCCCAAGGGGTTGCTTCCTGGAACACATGCAGGAAGTAACCAGAAGGGGGCAATGATTCCCTTCTCTCTGTCTTGCTTTTGGCTTGTGAGAGTGCCAGTAGCATGGGCACTCGCTTTTCCCACCACAGAAAACCTTCAAACCAGATATCGCAATGGCCTGGGAAGTCAAGCTGAGGTGTGTCAAGTGAGCTCTTCCTCATGCCCACCTCATGCATGCAGCCCTCCTTCCTGAAATTCAGATGACGGCCAATCTGGCCACAGGCCAGCGTCCTCTCTCCACCATCCCCTTTTAAAAGCACAGTGCTTGGCATATTTTCCAGCCACTGCATGCTCCAGGGTGGGAAGTCTTGGCTTCTCGTGGGAATAAATATCAAATTGATTTGCACACCTCCTCATCCTCGTGTCCTCAGCCGTCTCCAAGCCCTCTACGTTCTGTGGACAGGGAAATGGTCCTTTCTGAACAGAGACCAAGCAGACACCTCATCTTGGTCACCTGGGTGTAATAATTGATCGGAGATCTGTTGTCCATGTGATGATACAGGATCTGTCTTAAGCAAACAGTTGTCTCCTCTTACCAGTGGCCAAGTGAGTTTCCTTTCCCGGGGAGGTGAACTCATTTTCCCAGGTGTGATTTTAGGTGGCTGCAGGCAAATTATTTTTAATGTCCTTCAGAATGCCTCTGCTGTACTTCCTTGGCTCCCTCATAGGCAGTGAAAAAGCTGGTATGGAACGAGGCGAGATACAGAGATGTCATCCTTAGGGTCACAGCCCTCAGGATAGAGGGGGTTTAATTCCACTGATCGTCTAGGGCACATCCAGGGCAGGGTGGATCTCATCCCTTCACCCCAGAAGATAGTTTCCATTCAGGTTGCTCATCTGCACCGAACCACACAGCCCACTGGAGGTTCTGTGGCTAGAAGCGCATGTGAAGGATTCTCCTCAGTAGATCAACTTCATGCCATTGTTATGCTCAGCTTTGGTTGTGCAGCAAAATGCAGTACACTGTGCCCTGCCTCCCTTCCCAAAGCATACATTAAAAAGGAGCAGGAAGATGGAGAACAATTCTTGCTAGGACACATCTGTGTATCTTTCAGAACAGTAACATGCTCAGCCTGTCTCCTGCAGCCCTTTAAAACTCCTTCCAAAGCTGGCATCTGCAGGGGCACCAGGGGGACCCCAGAGCATTGCACAGAAGGTTGTTTTTCTTTTTGTCTGTAACATTGTTCTTTAATTGTGTTTCACTCTAACCCAGTGCTCGTGTTTCTTTGTTATGTAGTGGACACAATATGCACTTCCAGTGCGGGCACAAACGGGACTGCCAGAGAGAAGCTCCCTGTGCTTGGAGCTGAGCAGATTTCCAGACTGTTTTAAGACTGATTTAGAGGCTAGTTTTATGCACCAAGTTGCTGCTGCTGCTGCTTTCAATGATGAAGGTGGGGCATGTGCAAGGAGGGGAAGGAGGATGGTGATCACAGTGGCATTATGTGACGCACTGAGAACATTTTTATTTTGTTTTAACTAGAACAAAACTAGTTTGCAAAGTCTTTGCTTTGGAAAGGCCAGAAGCTGGAGAGCAAGTTGAATTGAAATCTCACTAGAACGATTGGATTTGAATGGGGTTAAGGAAATGCTCCTTAGAAAGTGGATGTGCCAGGTGGGTGCCCAGCATGCCTGGACACGTTACAGATGGATTGTACGAATGCCAGTCTGTTCTCTTGAGGACTTGAGGCAGCTTCTCATGGCTGGATCCACCCATGGGTCACAGATGATTAGAAGCGCAAAGTTCTATTTTTTTTTTTAAGTTCCTAAATTTCTTAAGGCCCCAGACTTTGTAACAAAAGGGATTCTTGTCTTTTAGGGTAGGCACTTCCAGGTTCAAAGTACAGGGCACGACGGATGTCCTTTTGGATCATCTTGCCAGTAGTCAAGGTTTGCCCTGGAACATGGCCTTTCCTGGTCTTTTATATCAGAAATAGGAACAATTCAGGTCTTTCTTAAGGAAGCTGAAATCCATAATGGTTTTAGCAGCTCTTGATTTAGCCCAAAGAGCTAAAAATTCTGTGGAGAAACAAAGCAGAGAGGGGAAATTGCTATGCTGCCCTCTCGTGAGGTTTAAAAACCCAACTGAACTGCTGTGCAAGTCGCACTGAAGGCAGCTGGGGACCTGGAGTCAGCCAGCTCTCGGGCCATGCTGCTGGAGACGAGCCCCATGCCGTGGGCCAGCCAACCTATTGAGCATGAGTGCTTTTCCAAAAGGGCGGTTGTTTGGGGGAAGTTAAAGATTGGGAGGAATCGCGCGTCTCACTTGGGCTTTTTAACTTCATTATTGAGTGAAAGGGAAAAATGACGTATAATGCCAGTGCCAAGAGCTCTGGTGTCAGAGTTCCAAACAAGGCGTTTCATTTTAGAACTGCACTTCCCTGACTTGATTTTAAAGATGCACTTTAAAGGACTTTTTTTAGTTTTTAGGAAACTCCTTCCCTTTTGAAATGCAGGCAGGAAGGGGATGTTATCTTCAAACCACTGGGAAGGTTTGTCTAGCCCACATTGAAATTCCCTAGTACTGGTCAGTGAAGTGTTTCAAAGCAAAGACTTTACTTTTTGCTGCTTGTTACCTAATTTACAGGGATTTAATTTTATGTAATGTATTGTATATTTATACATCTGTAATTAATTGCACATTAGATAAGGAAGAGGATTAGCTTGGGTATAGCACCCACTGGTACTCTGCAACCGACTAATACTGCCTATGCATATGCATCATTCTGGTGTTATACAGCCTTAGTTTGAGTTCTGTCTGTTTTCTTCCCTTGTGTTAAAATGCAGTTGTTAACCTGCTGCTTGAATGAAGGATACTAATGCTGCTGTTCTTGGAAGGTTTGTTGAATGTATTTTAAACGGGACTCTAACTTGTGTGCGTTGCATCTCCATTGTGGCTAATTACCCCAGTATGTGGTCTGAACTGTACTGTATGTAGCAGGAATGTATTAATTTTGTGCTTCCTTGTTAAAAAACATGAGCTGTTCAAGAACAGGAGGGAGATTTTTTTGTTCAGAAGGCCATTTATAAGTTGTTCGTATTGCAGACCAAAAACAACTGAACACTAAACAGGCGATTAATTGTCAGTGTCCATATGAATTTTCCAACCGTTTCGCTCAAGTAGACCAGGAAGTGGAGGGTGTGGAGGTCATGGCTCTTCTGTTTTAATGTTACCAAATTAATGGCCTGATGCGATCAGTGCTGAGCTACCCCTGCTTCCTGTGGGAGTGGAGAATTGGGCAGTCGGGGGTTCTTACCACTTCCTGGGATCAGGTCTTAATTTTCACTCTGCTTGTTCATACTCTGTGTGAAGTCTGTTGACATTCTTGACTTTGGACATAAGAAAGCTGTTGCACTGAAACACAGACTTTTGAACCCAGGTTTCCATCTCCCCACGCTGCCCATCCATACACAGTGTGCACACTATAGTGTAAGTGGCCTTCTCGAACAAGTCTCTTTGAACACTGATCTCGTCCCAGCGAAGGAGTGTATCAGCAACACTGTACATGATTAATTTCTGATTTTCATTTCCATGTTTTATTTTGTAAATATATCCGATGTTTGGAGCTTGAGTATACAAATGTAAATAGAGTTCACGTATTTGTACTAATTCTGATCCATTTGCTGTATAGCCTTAGGTGTGCAATGCAGATATTATCTAACTGTGTATGGTAACCTTGCACCACTGAACTGTTAGTGAACGAGGTGAAACAATAAAGGTACAACCAGTGCATCAGCAGGCATCCTGCGTGCTTCTTGCTTTCCGGGACTAGTTTTTACACTGCCTTGTTCCCCAGATCCTTGCCATTTAAGAAACCTCTGATGTCTGAGCTGCTTCTGCAGCTGTCTTGTCTCCTGTATGCTCAGGCTGCCTTCACTGGCACTCCTAGTTGTCGGACAGATGTTTGAGGACGTCGGCAGCGGGTGCATCCTGGGTCAGACCAACAGTTCGTAGTTTGTTTGCTGCCCCGGTGGGTGTGTAGGCGCTGCCCATTGAGCTTGACTCCACTCAGAGCTGGCAGCCCTCAACACAGAGTGATTTTGGGAGGTTTTTTCCCCTGATGTGCCGCAATGTAATTCATTGTACCGTTCCTCCCTGTCGCAACACCAATCTCCCGGATCACCAGCAGAGCGATGTCACTGGGGGCAGACCCGGGAGGCTCGGCACCCCTATCCCTGTCCCCTCTCGGGGCCCTGGTCGACCTGTGCCCTCCCTCCCTTGCAGAGAAACCAGGATTTGTCTCTGGGAATGAGCCGCTGTGTTTGCACGGCCCTCCCTCCTTCCAGGAGAGGCCCCTGGTCTTCTGGCAGGTGACCTGGGCCTGCCTGCGCTCTTCCTGGGGTCCCTATTCAGGGTCCCCCTTATTGCGCCCAACTTTAATCATCCTTTGTCCCAGGGCCGGACCCCACCTCGTCCCGGGGTTCCGGGCTGCCCCGCCCCCTCCCATCAGGCGCCTTCGCCTTTAAGGGGCGAGTCGCTTGGCGCTCCGCTCATCACGCCTGGGCCGGGGGCGGGGCGGAGCGG